CAATGCAGGAGAAGAAAGTTTAACACTCTTCAGCAATGAAACAAAAAGAAAGAAAAACAAATGTCATGTTTATTTTAAATCATTTTTGCTTATTAATGTGGCTGAATTGGATCATCGAAGGTCGGCAGCAAAGATATTGATTAATAAAATGTGATTAAATACATAAAAGATATTTGTTATTTAATACATTTAATTATTGCAGGTTTGCATTGCACTGTTTTCATTCATTTTGAGGAATACTGAATCTGTTTTTGTGCAAGTGAGTGTAAATGCATGTTCACATTTAGTCTCTTGTTCACACAGCGCCTCTGCACTTGCTCCCGATTTCTCTCAACATGGGGACAGGAGAGTTGTCAGTCAATAAATGGGAAAACAAAGTAACTGGAGTTACTTATTTGAAAAAGAAACTCATATATTTTATTGTAAATTAAAAAGTAATGCGTTACTTTACTAGTTACTTGAAAAAAAGTAATCTGATTACGTAACTCGCGTTACTTGTAATGCGTTCCCCCCAACACTGCATATTAGTACCTAAAAGGTACAAAAGTGTTCCTTTTGAAAAGGTACTGCCCCAGTGGCAGCTTTTGTACGTTTTATTCTGAGAGTGTAGGGCAGTTGGTTTTGTTCATCAGGAATCAATTACATTGTGAAAACAGTGGCATTCCACACTTGATTAATGCTAACCGTCATATATTAAAAGACTAAAATCTGTTTATGTAACAATTATATAATTATTCTTTTAAATATGTTATATACATTTTTGTTATTATCATCATCATCATTATTATTAGTGTTCAAATATGTTTTAATATATTTAAAAGTAAATATTTATAATTTTATTATTGTTGTTATTATTATATTTTAATAATTTTATTAAAATATTGTTTTAAGTAAATTAAAGTGTATATATGTGTTATATATAATTTATTTGTCTAAATATTTTTTGCTAAATAACATTATTTATAATTATTATGTAATAATTGTTGTTATTTATAATCAAACATTATTTTGCTAATTAATGTAAGCAGAAAACATGTTACAGAGGCTTTTACTTATTTACATTAATTATATATTTATATATAATAATTTGAACAATAATAATGATGATATTATTATTATTATTATTATTATTATTATATTATATATATGATATTTGTCTAAATATTTCTGCTAATTAATATAATTTATAATAATTATGTAATTATTATTATTATTTATAATGTTGTTTTGCTAATTAATGTCAGCATAAAAGACGTTGTAGATGTTTTTTACAAACTTAAATTTAATATATTATTTAAAATATAACAAAGAGTGAAAAATTTAAGGGGGTCTGAATACTTTCCGTACCCACTGTATATTTCATATTTCGCTATTATTAACATTATCTTATAGCCTTTGTGACTTTAATGACCCCAGAGGCTCAGCTAAAGAAAAAAAAGGGAAAACAAAGTAACTGGAGTTACTTATTTGAAAAAGAAACTCATATATTTTATTGTAAATTAAAAAGTAATGCGTTACTTTACTAGTTACTTGAAAAAAAGTAATCTGATTACGTAACTCGCGTTACTTGTAATGCGTTCCCCCCAACACTGCATATTAGTACCTAAAAGGTACAAAAGTGTTCCTTTTGAAAAGGTACTGCCCCAGTGGCAGCTTTTGTACGTTTTATTCTGAGAGTGTAGGGCAGTTGGTTTTGTTCATCAGGAATCAATTACATTGTGAAAACAGTGGCATTCCACACTTGATTAATGCTAACCGTCATATATTAAAAGACTAAAATCTGTTTATGTAACAATTATATAATTATTCTTTTAAATATGTTATATACATTTTTGTTATTATCATCATCATCATTATTATTAGTGTTCAAATATGTTTTAATATATTTAAAAGTAAATATTTATAATTTTATTATTGTTGTTATTATTATATTTTAATAATTTTATTAAAATATTGTTTTAAGTAAATTAAAGTGTATATATGTGTTATATATAATTTATTTGTCTAAATATTTTTTGCTAAATAACATTATTTATAATTATTATGTAATAATTGTTGTTATTTATAATCAAACATTATTTTGCTAATTAATGTAAGCAGAAAACATGTTACAGAGGCTTTTACTTATTTACATTAATTATATATTTATATATAATAATTTGAACAATAATAATGATGATATTATTATTATTATTATTATTATTATTATATTATATATATGATATTTGTCTAAATATTTCTGCTAATTAATATAATTTATAATAATTATGTAATTATTATTATTATTTATAATGTTGTTTTGCTAATTAATGTCAGCATAAAAGACGTTGTAGATGTTTTTTACAAACTTAAATTTAATATATTATTTAAATATTTCAAGCCATATATATATATATATATATATATATATATATATATATATCCTCGAATCTGATTGGCTGAGTGCCTTTTCCAGCCATGCAATATTCTAATGGTAACAGAACTCCAACCGTTTCACCATTTGTATCACTCTGCTTGCAATATTTCTCACAGCGTTTGACTTTAATCACCTCAGAGGCTCAGCTAAAGAAAAAAAAAACATCTTAATCTAGCCTAAGCTGTACTGCGAGTCTTATCAGGGTCAAACTGGTCTGTTAGCTGGTTTTACAGGGG